GAAGGCAGACCCAGCCCATCAATATGGGAGACCAATACACATGAACATGACAAAAGAAACAGTTTTCAGCTTTAGGGGCCAAGAAACAGATCATTTAATTGTATATGGCCAAATAAACGATTCTCAGCTTCAGCCCATTTTTAATTACCAGCAATCTTTTGTTCCCAATAACTTTTCTTTAAAACAACATGGCGTCATGAGGTACACGCAAGGAGACAAGTGGTTCAAAATATAAACTTTACTTTCTTTAAAAGTTATTTTTTTATAAGATAAAATTTACTTTTATCCAAGTATTTATGAGTTTTTTTCTAATTTTATCCCATATATTCTCTTTCCTCTTTAATTCATTTATTACATCTTTTACTAATCTCTTTATTAATAAGGTATATTAGGAAAACAAATATATATCTTCCACATTTATTGTTTTTAATTGATTTTAATTAGTTTCTTGATAAACGCAATGGATAAAGTTTAGTTTATATTTTGAACCAGAGGGAGTACCATCTAACGGTCTGAATCCTTTGAATTGACTTTTCTAGTTTCATACAAAGGGGTCTGTCTTAGATGGACAAATAAAGCTCGAACTCCTAAAGTTTTTCTGGTTCAAAATTTTACTGCAATATTCAGTTCTTTTCGTGACCCATAATTTGATATCCCAAAAGTTGAAATCTTCTGCATCAAAGTCACATGTACAGTCAACAAAGCATCTTACATGATTCATTCACAGCCACAAAAGGAGATATGTGTGTACATTTAGTTATGTAAGGTGTAATGTGAGAGTTAAGTATTATATTAAACAACCAAGAATCTTATCGCTTATGGCATCCACATCCCCTTACAGAGGATGTTGTGGAACTGAATTCCCAAATGGTAAAAGCGAAGTGGGTGTGCGTGTGGGTCAACCTTCCCCATCCAATGGGGGAGGGTAAGGATAAGGTGGTAAAAAAGCATATATCAAACACTAATATAACTCTTCATATGTGCTTTTAAAGAAACCATTACATTGTCACAAGATGGAAAATCATCTGGGCTGAACAGTATAGAGCATTAATGATTCTAGAGAGAAGTTGTCATCAATGATGGATCAACTTGCACTGATTTACCCCACAGAAAATGCAGGTTGTTTTGGTTTTGGAAGAGACACTGGTTCACTTCCTAACAGAACCATAATATCTGATATGGTGGGTCTGTCTTCTGGGTCTTCTTGTACACATAGCAGTCCTATATGCATGCACCCTCAAAATTCTGAAGAGAGACTTTGCTTCCATTAAATGAGGATCCACAAATTCCATTTCTTCCGTTCATTCCATAATCTCCATGCCTCATTATTGAAACTTGATTACTTTCCCTAAAAGCTTATGGGTGATTTAAAGAAAAGGTAGTATATCAAGTGATTGATGATATGTACATATGCTAGAAGGGTAGAGGCAAGTTCAGTTGCATAAAAGCCACTGCTTCTCTTCCCGCTAATAATCTCAAGCAAGATGACACCAAGCTGAAGATATCAGATTTCGCTGAGAATAATCCTCTCATTGCATACTCTGGAGCCATGTATCCACTATTTTATACATGAAAATTAGACATGTCATCATAAACAATAGAGAACAAAACAATATGAAAATTATATATATATCATATATTGGCCCACAATATCCTTTTGACACAAATTAATTCACTCCATTATTTCAATGATAGGTGACCAAACCAAGCTTAAGCAAAACTTATTATAAAGACTAAAACTAAAATTTACTCCATTATAGAAGTTTAGGAATGGATAACTTACTATGTTCCCACAACTCTTTTGGTATTAGCGGTACTTTGATTTTCATAAAAAATTCTTGCCATACCAAAATCTGATATCTTCGCAACCATGTCATGGTCAAGCAATACATTGTTTGGTTTCAAGTCTCTATGAATGATTCTAAGTCTTGACTCTTCATGAAGATAAAGTAATCCTCTAGCTATACCCATGATAATGCCATAACATGTATTCCAATCAAGCTGTGAACGTTTTTCTGAATCTGAAGTAATAAAAACACCAAAAACCTGTAACCAGTGACATATGTATTATATATATAAACCTTAATGAGCAAAGGGGGGGAAGCCAACAAACCAAAGATGAATCTGTCAAGGCTTTGATTGGACATGTATTCATATACGAGAAACTTCTCTTCTCCTTCCAAGCCACATCCCAACAGCCTCACCAGATTCCTATGCTGAAGTTTTGCGATCAGAATGACCTCATTTTTGAATTCTTCTGTGCCTTGCCAAGACTTCCTTGATAACCTTTTGACTGCCACTTCGTTTCCATCCGGAAGTACACCCTGAAATTCCCAAAAATCAAACCACAAATTGCGTAATGCCTTGCTTGGTAATACATAGGCTGAAGTGAAATTCAGAGATTATCATACCTTGTATACAGAACCAAAACCTCCTTGTCCTAGCTTGTTTGAATCAGAAAAGTCATCGGTGGCGATCTTAATTGTTGCAAAATTCATAAACTCAAGTTCTTCAGAGCTAATTAATTCTCCATCTTGTGTAATAGTTACACTCTTGGGGGTCCCCAATTGTTGTAGTAGCATCTTTTCGCTTTTTTCATCATCTGATTCATCGTTTTCAAGGACAATAAAAATTGAAAAATCAAAGAACTGAGGTCAGTAATTCTTGCACGACTTTTACATGGTCAACAGATGAAAAATTATAGAAAAGATTCACCTCTGTCTTCCCTTTGTTTTTATGAAAATAGGCAACACAGAAACCAGTAAGAAGTGCTAATAAGAACAGTGGTGCACATATAATCAGAACAAGCATCCACGTCTTCCATTTCCCTCCTGCCCATAAATGGTAAGAATATGCTAACGATATCATTGATATGCCTTCTTGACGAAGAAATAAAATTAAACTAATCAGAATCAGAAACCTTACCTTTAGAATTTGGGTAAACCACAAGGTACTGAGAAGAAGTATTGAAGAACTGAGACAATCCAAACCTCACGTTGCAAGTTCGACTAAGAACTATCCCACCTTCATGGGATGAGCAGCAAGCTCCAAGGTCTCCTATTGCAGAACTCAAGCAGTTATAGCATAGTGTTTCAGAGATGTCTCTTGTGCATTGTACTAGACCATAAATTGTAATTCTCGGAAAAAATTTAATTTCCCCAGAAGCAAACATGTTCTTGGAAGGAACAAATGCGGCCTCATTGGACAGGTTGTTCATTAAGTGCATCAGAACCTGGCTGAATCGAGCAGGATCTGCCACATCCTTTGCCTGATTGTTTTCATCCGGATACTTCCCAGTATAAACCATCATTGAAATGAACATCTGAAAGGAGTATCTTACTTGACAGAGATCATACCATATAATAGCATCTTGAATCCTACATTTGTTGAGTATATCTTGGCTTGCTTTCTCAACACAATCCTTACAGGTTGTGGAGTTTATGTCTCCTCTGCATAGTGCAAGTCCATAGACCTTATCTGGCTCTTCTCCAATGGATGTGTTATAGAAACCTGAGACTGAAATGTTGGAGGAAAGCGACCCAAGAAGAAGCTCAAGGTTGTTATGAAATGTAGAGTTCAGAGTGTATTCTGGGAATTCAGGTGGACACCATGTGGAGAGAGGATCTGAACCTGAGACAAGGTGAAGAAATAAGATGGGAATGATGAAGAAAACCATAGCTGAAAATCTACAAATTTTTACCCAAAAAGACAGAATAAATGTATAAATCAGGTTTGGTTAGGCAAGATACGGTGATTATACACAGGGGTCAGAAAAAGCTGGGAAATTTCTCGTCTGGGATAGAATAATAAAAGGAAGTACAACGGGCATTAATAACATTATAATGATAATCAATAATTGTGCAGGAAGTTACAGGAACTACGAGCAACTTAGATCAGCAATAATATGGTAAACGTTATTATTCTAATTTTTATTTTTAAAAAAAAAGTGTTGGTGTTATTCCAAGCTTATCACTGGTCTATGATTTTGATTCTATCCATGCATTGTGTCTCAATCAAAGGGCGGCAACATCAGTGATGACGATTATTAAGAAACTGGTATTTTTTAAAACATGGAACATATTTCTCTTGACGTTATCCTTGAAGTCTGTGTAAAATAATCTAAATTTTTTTCTTTCTTTAATAAAATTATCGTAGAAAAATACCAATGCGTTATCAACATCAAAGAATCTAAACAATTAGCAATGAGAGAGACCTTAGTTGTGTCTTGGAGTAATCAGAAAACTATTCATGGCTGACTTCTTGTCAGAGAAAGAAAGCTGCTATCTTGTAGATCTAACGGCGAAGCCAAGATAACCCCATATTGATTAAAAATAATTGAATGATTGAATTGACTTTCAAATTCAAGATTTGACTAAATGAGATTGATGCTGGGTTTTGCTTGGAGTCATAGTTTCATGCCCGAACCTGAAGGAAAAAGTCACTGGATTATGAAACTTGCTCGTTAGAATGAATTACTTTGATCTTTCCCTGCAAATGTAATCAATTTCGTCCCAGAAGTTACCATCCTAAATTCAAACTGCAGAAATCACATTTTTGACCCTGATGCTTGAGCACTAATTCTCCTATTGTAGTTACTGCTTGTTAGTCTTCTGTCTTGCATGGAACTTTCTTCATCATTATGAACGAATTAACAGAAGTTTGGTCTTGGTTCTGCTAATTTTTTTCCCTCATGCTTAGCCATTTGGAATCAAAATTCAACAACTTTCACAATCTGACTAATGCTCACATGGATTAATTTTTGCATAAAAGTTTAGAGAATATATATAGCCACAGATTATCCGCAGTGACAACCTGGCTTCTTTATGTCCCCGATAATATGTCCTCTCGCTTGTTCATGTACCTCGTGTACAACAAATAAAAATTTATTATCTGTTCTTCTGTAAGCTTCAAAAAGGACAAAGTGATTGGAAGCCATGTGGTGGACATGAAAATAAAAATAAATGCCATGCATCCGTGGGTCCATAAATTAGTTATACACATTTTCACAGGTCAACAATAACAACCATACCCATTTAGCCTAGTTTACACGTTAAGAAAATGTTAATCTAGTTACAACTTGAATGTCCAGCTTTTGACTGAAAGCCATCTAACTACAATATTACAACATAAAAGGGGAAAAATTAGACTAGGAAGTTTTCAAATCCATTCACTGGGGCAGTATATCAGAGATTGTCAAGTTATTGACAGAGCAATGTTCATTTTCTGGCACGTGATGATCATTATCAATGATTCTTCCCACACAGAAGGGTGGCTTTTGGGGTTGACCAAGAGTTGGTGATTGGCTTTTCAACATTAAAACAACCGAAGACATGGTTGGTCTGTCATACGCATCTTCTTGAACACACAGTAATCCAACATGCAAGTATACTAGAAACTGATCTTCAGGGCATGAATCAGCTACTAGAGGGTCCATCAACTCCAGTGCGCTTCCCTCATTCCATAGATGCCATGCCTATAGAATGAATGGTTTTTCAAGTCAACCAATCAATGGCAATACATAAGTCTTTTGCCCAAAAGTTTAAAATAAATTATAAATTCTCATGGGTAACTTTATTATTATTTCTAACACTTACATATGCCAAAAGGCTAGGAGCATGTTTAGAGTGATGGAAACCTGCGTTGCGCCTCCCGGTGATAATTTCAAGCAATAACACTCCAAAACCAAAGACATCAGATTTTATAGAATATATTCCCTCCATAGCATATTCGGGAGCCATGTATCCACTGTAAATTTGAAATTATAAACTCATTGCCACAAAAGCAAATGCGACAAAATATAAAAAAAAATTGTGCAAGGATCTAAGTACTCACTATGTGCCAACTATAGTAGCAGTATTAGCTTCACCTTCAGCTCCTGCAAATATTCTTGCCATTCCAAAATCTGATATTTTTGGGTTCATTTCGCGGTCTAATAATATATTACTTGCTTTTAGATCTCTATGAATTATCTTTAATCGAGAATCTTCATGAAGATAAAGAATCCCTCTTGCTATTCCACTTATTATATCAATACGTTTGATCCAACTTAGTCGTGCTCGTTGCCTTGGATCTGTCAACAGCAACTAATTTATTATGAAATGATCCACTATTCTAAAGTGGATAAAATTATGAAAAATATATTATCTGATACGTCTGAAAGGTGAAGGAAAAAGACTCACCGAAAAGGACTGCATCAAGGCCGCCATTAGGCAGAAACTCATAAACAAGAAGCATTTCTTCTCCATCTAAACAAAATCCTAGAAGCCTCACTAGATTTTTGTGCTGGAGTTTCAGTATGAGCAGAACCTCGTTTATGAATTCATCTGAGCCCTGTTCAGAGCCCGTTGAAAGCCTCTTGATTGCTACTTCCTGGCCATCACTTAATACGCCCTACAAAAACCACAATCCTTAAGTTTGTTTATGACAAATATGCAAGAAAAGTTGGTTCACCTTTTTAGGCTTAAAATTCAATCACCTTGTAAACAGGGCCAAAGCCGCCTTGACCAAGCTTATTTGAATCAGAAAAGTTTTTGGTAGCAACACACAGAGTTTCAAGATCAAAATAAGGCAAATCCTCAGCTATCTTGTCATTTCTTCTACGAAAATTCTGGTGATTTTGGAACACAGTTTCACCTCTCTGCCCAAAGCTATGAGGATCCATCACATGACTGTCTATTCCACCCTTCCCTGAGCAAAAGAACCCAAGCAGTTAAACAGAGCAAAAAGAAAAGTTCAGAAACATGAATTGACCTTATATCAGCTTATATTCTTGCATACTTTTCTGAGTTTTCTTCTTCTTTCTAAGGAAGTAAACGCAGAAACTTAAAATCGCTATTGCCAAGCCAGTCGCTGCTATAATTCCTATAATCATCCCTGCTTTGTTTGTTGTACCTGAATAAGGGATCATTTAAACAATCAAGCTCAAACAGATTGAGAATTATAACTTGATGCAATATTATCCATCGAAGTTACTTGAAACTGAAACGCTTACTTTTTCCCCTTGTTGCAAATGAACCATTTGGATCAGGTTCACCATTATAAAATGCATATAATTCAAATCTTAAGTAGCAGCTACGACTTAGAACTCTAGCCCCGATTGAGGAATAACAACAAATAGGTAGATAACTTATCGCACTTTTCAAGCATGTGCCACAATCACTTGCTGATAAATCTCTGGTGCATTGAACTAAGCCATGTATTGTTTTCCCTTCAAAGGGTGCCTCTCCAACAGCATACAAGTTAGAAGAAGCATTGAAAGATACCTTCTCAGTAAGACTATACAATAACCCATTGACCTCAGACTCAAACTCCTTGGGTTTTGAGATGTTCTGTTGATTATCAAATCCCAATTTGCCTGTGACATCCACTTTTCCGACGAAGTTCTTGCTGGAATATCGTAATTGGCAGTACTCTTCCCAAACAACTGCTTCTTCTGCTTGGGGACAGAGTTTAAGAATGTCTTGTGTTGCCGTGGCTATGCAGTCTTGGCATGTTTGATTTGGAACATAGTCAAGGCACATGAAGAGGGTATAAACTCTGACTGGGTTCTCTCCATAAGAGACATTGTAAGATTTGGAGATTGAAGCATTGGAGGATAGAGAACCGAGGATGTAGTTAAGGTTGTTCTGAAAGGAGCTTCCTTTGGTGTAATTACTACTTGTTGAACAATTTTTATACGGTGGATCAGCGAAGGAAACGCCTGAGAGGAAAAAAATAGTGCAGAGAAGAAGGAATAGCTTTGGAGAATCAACCATTTCTGCTAGTGACTACCAATCAAAAGCACAAGAAAATCTGTTGAATGATATGATTAACTGATATAGAACTATGATTTAGGCAGCTTTTACTTATAAAAGTTTGAACTTGGCACCATCAACAAAATTGGGAATGATTCAAACTGGAAGCGGATGTACTGTTTACCAGAGTTGAATTGGATTATTTAGTGTTTATCTATTAGTTTGAATTTTAACAGCGAACGAATTAAGCTCTTCAAAGAAGAAATTAATTTTTTTGTTGACTGTGACCATAACCTCCAATCACAGCTCTATAGTATAAACCAGTGCATTCCTGGTTACTTGATAAGCAAGATATAGTTTACCTGTAAATTTATAATGATATAGAAAACGCCTATTGTTTCAATACTAAGTTTGTCAGAACACTTGGGAAACAACTTGGCATTAATCATTAAAATGGATATTATCCATCAATCATCATCAAGTATCAATTATAATATCAATAACAGTAAATATTATTGTTAATTTATTATTTTTGTTCTGTCATATCCAGGCCTTGTTTTCAGTTTTCTACTTTTGTAGCGCCTATAATTTTAAGCCGTAAGAAGACAAGTTTCATAGCATATTTAACAGAGTATTTTATTTTGATCCATCTGTCTGTGTTTCTTGCTCACCGAAAAGCATCGTCAGATCCATCCATTGGAACAGATAATAATGCAGAAGAAAAGGATGACTTGGAGTCATATTGAATTAAATGACATAGAAGCAAAAGCTTAAGGGAGAATCCAGAAAGATACTTTTTAATTTCAAAATTCCAAATCTGTCTTATTCACTACACTTTAATAACAATTGACAATACTCCTGTCCTTAATATAGGACCCAATGTTGAGTTGGTTTTGGTCCTAAATATAAGACCCATTTCTCATATTTATCAATTTTCTCTAAATTACCCTATGGAACTCCCTCAACCATAAGCAAGTACAAGAGAGAGAGGGGTATTAAGAAAGATGATTATAGTATTTTAGGAAAAACGTGTCACATTTATTATAATTAACTAACTTACCTAACTTCCTTAATCTAACCAAATTAGTTAAATGGGTCTTATATTAAGGACCGGAGGAGTATTTGAAAAGCAAGTGAGAACAGAACACATTTTTATAATTGTTCATAATTTGAAATTTTGAAATTTTAGATGTATTTTTTTGAGATTTTTCTGAAAATTAAATTAATTTTATGAAAATGGTAGCTTTTGTTTTTGGGTGTTTGGTTGCCTTTTGGATTTTATTCTTCAACCTTGTGCGTTTCTATTCTAGTCAAAGGCATCTAACAAATAATTAAATCAAGAATTAACGTTTACAAATTGATTTGAAATTTTAAATGCAGTCATTATCACTAGCATAGAAAGATTATTATTAATAATTATTATATTTCTTAAAAATGGTGACAGGAAAATTACCTGTAATTAGTTATTAAAAAAATTACCTGTAATTAAACTTGACAATATAGAAACAGGCATAAGAGATATTCTTCATTGACATCAATTTAATATTTGATTTAAAATATTAAAATATAATTATAAAATATATTACCTAATGGGAAACCCCAATCTTCCCTCACCAACATTTAAATTCAGTAGTTAATTAAATTATAATCCCATGTGATGCAATTAATGAATTGTTTATGATAATTATTATATTAACTGGGATTAACTTATGTATTATTTACGTTGTTAAATAAGTTTTCTTTTTCAAAGTATATTATTATTATTCGTTGTGTCGTGTTATATTATTGATATTAAACTTAGAGGGTAAAGAGGAAAAAGAGATTTTATTGATTAATAAACAGAATGTACAACTACTGGGCTAGAGGCCCAACCATACATAGCCCATTAGCAATTGATATTTGATTACGCCTATTTAGAATGACTTATAAGCAGCTTTTTAATTATTATTTATGAAATACAAAATAAGTATGTGAGAAGAGTTTTATCTCAACTTAAATAAAATGTGTTTATAAGTGATTTCAAATGCTAATTCAAACAAAGTCATAGTCTAATAAGAATTATTTCTGTTGAGAGTATTGCAACAACACAAATTGAAATCACAATAACATGTCCCTTAATATGTAGTTTGGTTTACAGTACTCCCTCTGGTCCCTTAATTATGCAAGCAAGATCTCTTTTAAAAGAATGGGAAGATTAATACTACCTCCGATCCTTAATATAAAATCTTGTTTGACTTTTATTTTGCTCTTAAATATAAAATCACAACATACTTTGTCTCTCATATTTATTTATTTTTTTCCAGTATAGTCATTTTAATAATGGTTACTCCAGCAAAAAAACTTTAGTAAAGATATTTTATAAAAGACAAATATATTTATTACAAATAACTAATTTGACTTATTTCCTTAATATACTCAAATTAGTGAACTAACTCTTATATTTATGATTGGATTTTTTTTTTGTGCTTATAGTTTGATTTGATTATAACTTAGTTTCTAGATTTTAACTCAGTGCAACTTAATTCTTATAATTTTGATTTTATTGAGGCTCGATTCATGAGCTTTAATTGGTACAGCCCAATCCATATAGTTTAGTCACTTAAGATATTAGTTCCGAGTTGCATTGAGTTAAATTTTGAGAATTGAGTTATTATCAAGTTAAAAGCGATGGTCAATGTGTTTATTTAATTTTTTTTTCCTAATAATAATAACAGATTAGTTTTCCCTGAACAAGCATCCCGCGTTGGTTAGATACAATTGACTTAGGTACGCACAATGGATGGGGGGAAGAAACTAGTTACGGCCAGTCGTCATAAAACCAACTTACAGATACTCAATAAGTGCGTAAAATGATTGTTTTTGTTATCTCTTTAATTTCCATGCATTATGTCTCACTAAGTAAGCAGAAGGAACACACATAGTTATCATGTTTACAAAGGGTGGAACACGCAAACTCATGCTAACAAAATTTAAGGAAGTGCTTATTATCAATTGAGCCAGCACAACATCAACTACCTACTTATTGATTTTGAATCTTATAATACCTTCAACATATGAGAGAAATCGGTTAGGGCGTAAGTTATTACTGCCTCCAGTTCATAATAATACATCCTGTCCTAATTATGAAAATCAGTTGACTAATTTGAGAATATTAAAAAAGTAAGTTGAGTTAGTTATTTGTCCTAAATAGGTATTATCTTTCCCAAAATATCCTTGCTAATCAAGTGTATTGACTAGAACTATCATTATTAGAAGGGCTACTTTGAAAAAAAATGTATAAATATGATAGACAAAGTGGATTGGGGTCTTATATGTAGGCCTAAAATAAAAGTCAAACAAGGTCTTATATTAAAGACTGGAGGTAGTATAAAATTTGGTTGACTTATTTAAGTAGATTAAAAAAGTTTGTTAAGTTAGTTATCGGTAATAATTAGGTGTTGTCTTACCTAAAATATCATTGCTAATCTTATGTATTAGTTAGAACTACCATTTGATAAAATATTTAACATGTACAATATTATAGGAACTACTTTAAAAAGTAGATAAATATGGTAGATAAAATAGACTAAATATTATATTTAGAACCAAATTGAATGTCAAAATCAAATTAATGACCGGAGGTAGTACTGTATAATAATATCCAAAATTTGAGCAAATTAATGTAACAAAAAAGAAATCTAGCAAATGCATGAGATTATAAACAAACACTCTTTCATTGTATAACTATAAAGTCAAATTTCAGTCAACAATACAAACAGACTAATGAACTGAAAATTCAAGTCAATAATCAATACATAATTACGAGCAAATGTAAAATTGACAAAATAATTTTAAAAAAATAAAAGGAAAGAAAGAAGATGCTCTCTCTCACGTGCAAACCAACGCCCCCAAACATGTCAAGAGAAATAAACGGGACATCTCTTATCTTTGTACGTACTCAATATGTTCCCGTCGGGGCCCACACCCACGTCACAATTTGCATGCATCCGATGGGTCTTACTTTGCCACGTTGCCACCTTAAACTTAATCGTGGACGTCAATTCCACACGGAAGACCACACTCCCGTGAGCCCTATCGTTCAGAAACTCCGCCCAGCGCTGGCTAGTCACCGTCAACGTTGCTCCGCTCAAAACGCCGTGCACCTCCGTCGTGTTCTTCGGCTCCTGGGAAAACGGAAACAGCAACGGCATCGTTCCGATATTCTGATCCCTGTAATACACCGTCCCGTCCATGGCCTCATACTCAATCTCCATACGCTGGTTGGAGTTTCGGGCCGTGACGAAGAACGTTATCTCGGCGTTCTGGAATCCGGATTCTTGACCCAGACCCGGAACAGAGAAGTCGTGGATATAGAATCTGGGTCGGTGCGGGCGGAGGCTTAGCCATAAGATGAAGGCGATGAGACCTACAATGGCGAGAAGGCTTAAGAAAATACTGCAGAGGACTTTGGAGACGCGCGTGGTGAGGCTGTCTTGGACGCGCTGCACGTAGTAGCGGGCCGTATGGTGGCGGCGAAGGGGTTTGGATTGGTTGGCGGGGGTTTGTTGGTAGTGAATGGGTACGTGGGTGTCGTCGCCGCGCATTGTACCTTCCGGCGAGGGGCGTCGGGAAGCTTAGAAGTTGCAATGTTGGATTGGAACAGAAGCATCTGGTGGAACATTATATTTATGTAGTGAAGATTGAAGAAGAAGAAGAAGAAGGTGGGGGAGGAGAGTGAAGATGAAGTTGAGAACTTTAAGGATGTTTGAAGAAGAAAGAAAAGAATAAGCTTTGTTGGAGATTAAAGCGGTGTATTCTGGGTAATGAGCTGCATGCTTTGCTAAGACAACTCTCTTTTCCAATCCAATAGTTGCACGAATCCACAGGGTCGGGCCTGCAAATACCAGACAGATTAGTTTGCTTTTCTGTCAAAATAGTTTTGACTAATACACTTGATTAGAAAAGATAACACATATTTATTATAAATAACTAATTTAATTTATTTTCTTAATCTCTTTAAATTTACCAACCAACTTTTATAA